AAACCTCTCTTGGGAAGCCATACCTAGTCCCCAACTGCACCTCTCACTTCCTGGAAGACTCTGAGGTTATGGACAAGTCCTCCAGGCCTTATGACCCCACCATTATGACCTCATTCCATACCCTCAAAGCCAGGGCTAGAGGAACTCTCAATACTAGAAAGCTTTAGTTACTGTTGCCATATTATGAAGAGCTTAGGATGTTTCTTTTTCCATCTTTTTCCCCGTCCTTTTCCTTTTCCTGGGAGGGCTCATTTCTGGGTCCCCCAGAGGATGACACTGTAATGCAGACAGCCTTGTGACACAGGAGATGTCAGCTTGCTTTTTCTTATTTATACTCCGGACATACAGCCCTCACTTACTCTCTAGATAGGTAACTGGGACTCCACAGCTCTCACTCTTTCTGAAGAAATCTAACTGGCTCCTGTGCCCGTTCAAGGTCAGTACTCCCACAGGCCCTTCTGCTCTTTCAAAACAGACAAGGTGCTCCTGTTCAAACTTGGCATTATTCATGGTACAACAATGCCCCTGAAAGAGAAAAACACTTGGGGGCGGGGGGTGCTACGCCAGTAGTCAAAGGCTTCTTTTCTGGTCTCATTTGCTCAAGTGAAGTCTGCTGTCTCTTACTTTTATGAGTGAAAAGGAGAGGCTGGCTGAGTTTGGTGTACTGCCCAGAGCCCCTTGCAAAAGCAGCCTACAAGCTTCTCTCCTCTGAAGACTTTGTTGAGCTATGGCTGGGAGTATGTAGGGATGGCTTGAGTTCCAGAGCAGGGCTGTCACCATTCAGTGAGGGGAGCCTTCAGAGTGGTCATGCAGGAAGGAGGATTCTCAGTAAATCTCAGGTGACCATGTAGGACTTTCCAGACAACTGAGGTGAAAGTCAGAGGTCATCTCAGTACCTCACTGGTATTAAGACCCCTGCATGTCTAGCCATGTGAGAGTAGGCAGCAGCCACTTCTCTGGTCTTCGATCTTGTCTGTGATTCTCTTGTCTGCAAGGTGGACACTTCCTAATAATAAAAGCCTTATTAGGAAGCAGTTTATGTGAAAAGGAACAAGTCAGTGTGTAAATTGCTATACAACTTATTTGTCTCTTCAACATAAAGCAATCCCTACTGTAATCTTGCCCCTGGTACTTATCCTTTGCCTGCCTTAAGCCCTACTAATCCATAAAGGTCTAGCCCACATTCCAATGTTCCCAGAAGTCTTCCATAAAAACTGCTCTCTTTCTCTGGGATCTTATGGACATTTCAAGGATTCACATGTGTTTGAGAAATACTTGGGTACCTACCATGAACAAAGTATTACGATGAATATTGCTACTTTTATAAAATGAATTCAACATTTGTCCTGTCCTTAAATCACTCCCAGAGAAGTAAGGATAGATGTGCTATAGGGAAGTGACTGCTGATTTATTGAACTAGAGATTTTGAATGTATTCTTCAGAGTGTGGCCTCTCGCCTTGGAGATATGTACTTGCCTGATCTTTCATTCACAGTCACAGGTACCTTTTCCCTGATTTTTACCATACATGATCTTCACTATTTCAAGAAATTTTTAAAACTAGGTTATGTTTTTAAGTACTTTCTACTTTCTCTGAATACATTAATTTTTGTATTTTGTATTTTTGTATTGATTTCTGTATTGGTTTAGGTTGATACTAGACAGGAAAATAGGAAAATTCCATCTAAATCTTACTATATTTGAAGAAACCTGCTTTTAATGTATTTTTCCAAGTATTCTAGCTTTTTCATCAGGGAGACAGTGGGAGTAAAGAGGTGGTGGCGGCACTGGGCGTCTCAACTAAGAACAAGATTAAAGCCTTAAGGTGAATGAGGAGGTCATTGAATAAGATGTAGCCTGAAGAGAGGCAAAATA